CTGATCTGCCTCGCCCAGGAAGAGCGCAATGATGGTGCCAACTTGGGCCAGTGAAGCAACGTCCTCCACAACTAGACTGAAGAACAAAACAATAGCAACTTGTCTGTTCCCCTTCCCCCAATTCCCCAATAAAAATCTTAAAAAAAAAAAGAAGAAAAAGCCCAGTAAAGATAATTCGCTAGAAAGACATGTTATGCAGACTCTGTTTTAGTAAAACCATGTGTGCAGGTGAATTTTATGCAAGCATACACATAACATTCACATTGGTGAACATCTGAGCATGAAAGAAGTGGTGGGGTGGGTAAAGGTTGACATGTGCCCTTTAGACCTTCAAATCCTGTTTCCAGTCCCAGGGCTCAGCACGAATGACTCACTGGAGTTGGCCCTCCCCTATTACGGAAACTGCCCAGGAGACCTGGGAAGGGTCCAGGAAGGACTCTGAGGCTGGACAGAGGCTTCTGATTAAATGCCAGCCCTGTCCCACCTGGGCCTCAGAGGGCATCTCTGGGCTTATTTCCTAGTCAGGGAAACTGAGATCTCATGGGCCCTTTCTCTGGGGACCTCCTGAAAGACCCCCACAACTTCAGGCTGATTAGGGACCTCCTCCAAGCCTTATTCTTAGATCCCTGCAATCTTCACATTACTTCTGTTATGCAGAGATCAGTGTCATGAATGAGAACACAAAGAACAGCATAAACAGAATTAGAGTTAACACACCAGGTCCCTTGTGAAGCCTCTCCATCTTGTGCTCATTTACTCTCCACAGCTACACTGGGAGGTAGGGCCGAGGTAGCCTTGTTTTTATGGATAGGGAAACAGGTTAGAGAGGTCAAAGAACTCTTTCAAGAAAGGTCAAGTGGGAGCCCAATCCCTGCCTTTATTCACTGCCTGGTAGGGCTTCTTTTAGTTTGCTATATTGGTAATGAGCTCACCATCATGGAGGGCAACCAAGCCCAGCCAGACTCCCATCACGAGGGGTGACAATGGGCATCCTCCCTGGTTCACAGGGGGTGGGGGGCATGTTATTGCCCCAATATGGGCCTTTGAGGTGGGTGGCAGGAAGAGAAGTCACCCAATAGCACCTTACCTCCTGGATCCAAGCCTGCTTGTCTGGATTCCCCAAGCTCTGGCCTTGAGCAGAGAATCTTTGAGGCCTGTTCTTGGTTTCCCCACACCCAGAATACCTGACAGAAGTCACCACACCCTGGGGGTGAAGACGAGGAAAAAATAGGTGTCCAGGCTGGGCAAACCTCAGCCATTCACCTAGGCAAGGTGGGGGCTCAGCTGTCTGACACAGGGGCCACACCTCTTCCTTCTGAATCCTCAGCCCTACCTGGTGTGGTGGCAGCTTTGGGAGCCCACAGGGCAGTCAGTGGGAGGAAGCAGTGGCTCTAGGGAGGGCCCCAAATCCGACCAGCTCCCCCTGGGCCCTGAAACCCAGATTTGGACAACAGGAGGCCCTGGCCCCAGTGTGGAGGGGTCTTCAGTTTCCCTATCTGAAAAGTGGCCATGGCAAAAAAGTTTGAACCAGAGAGAAAGTTGGTTGGGAACCTGGCTAGTGATGTAATTGTAATAATAACAGTAATTATTATTCACATAATGACGGCGATGGCTGGCATTCTCTGGGTGCCCACTGAGTGTCTGTTGGGCTTATCGACTTATTTCACCTTCACCACAGTCCCATACCATGAGCTCCACTTTAAACCTAGAGATGCTGAGGCTCAGAGACCTAACATCACTCACTCGAGGTCCCCCAGTGTCCAGAAGTGTGCTGATCATAAAAGCTTCTGCCTGCTCAACGAACACCCTGTACATCCTCATGGAAGCTAGGTCACTGTCCTACCTCACAGAGGGGAAACTGAAGTACATCCAGAGACCAGGAGCAACGTGCCTGAGCCACACAGCTAGGCCCTGTCTGAGTAGGGACCTGAACCCCAGGGGAAACTGTGAGCTGGGGTCCTCAGGTCTGAATGTGGCCCAGTGCCTGGCAGGGCTAGGGGCAATGGGAAAAGGCCCGGGTCTGCGGCGATTCATTCAACAAACAATAATAATTCCCACCTGGGACCCTGAGGCTATTCCACCTGAGTCGGCCTTGGAAAAGCTGGGGCTACTATTACGGATGAGTCAGGGTAGTGGGTGTCCAGGATCTCCTGGAAGATTCAGGGTAAACGCGCCGGAGACCCAACCTCAGGCACCTGCCCGAGCTCCCCTAGAATCCCCACTCCCTCCCTCCCACCACAAAGGGGTCCACCAGGTTCTCAGGGAACCCCAACACTCACCCCCAGACACGGTCCAGCTTCCAACCCCTGCTCCTCTTAGCTGGTGACCGGGAGAAAGAGATTCACCTGAGCGCGAGCCTGCCTCCCTCTCGGCCTCGCCTCCCGCCAGGCGCCCCTTCTTCCATCTGGGCAGTTTCCCGCTGGAGGAATCAATGTTCACCAGCCTCCGCCGGCCCCACCTGCTTCCCTCCCGGGCCCCGCCCCTTCCCCTCACTGGCCCCGCTCCGGCTCCCACCGGTCCTCTTCTTTCTGGCTGAAGGCCCTACTTGGGGCCGACCAGAGGGTGAGGTCCTGTGCAAGCCTCGCCTTCTCAGCGCCCTGGCACAGGGCCCCGCCCAGTGCTGTGTGTTCGTTGAAGAAAGGTTTGAAATGGGGCAGGAGGCAGGTTGAACCCAGTGGCCTTCAGGTCTCTGCAGGGGGTTCGAAGATTCCAATCCTTAAACTTGTCCTAAGCCCCCAGACGTCCAGAGGCCACGCTGGCATTTGGAAAGGCTCTGGAAGTTGCAAATCCGATTTGAAGATTCTTGGGGTTGGGGCTAGTGAAGATTTGAACTCAGCTTCCCATCCCACCCTATGCTGTGTTTGAGTCTAGAAGTTTCTAGTCTTCACACATTGGGGTTGGAAGATCTGGGTCCACAGGTGTGAGCCAGGCAATAGTTTGAGTCACCTCCTCCTTCCCTCCCCATCCGTGTTTCTTCTGGTTGTGCCTCAGTTTCCCCATCTGTAGAAAGACGGAACTCAGCCCTGACTCCTCTAGTTGGGAGAGGTTTGAGAGTGCATGCAGCAGACCAAATGCACATTCTACAATTCCGGGAAGAAGGATGACATGTGAAATGTTGCTGCACCAAATGGAACTTTGCACTAATTTGCCCCATAAAACACTTGGATTTGGACCTCATGGAGGCCCATTCTTCCCTTGCAGGGCATTAGCTCCTGGATTTAAATTCAGTCCTTACCCACTCTATGGGTTTCCTGAGCTCCCGGGCCCCACAAAGGAGCCTAAATCCAACTCAAACACCCGATTTTGAGGGAGTGGCCCCACCTGTCTCCCCAGACCAGGCAGGGTCCCTCCTGCTGATGTCATGGGGAACTTTCAGAGCTCTAATCTATCAGGGCGCTCCAGACAGCTAGCTGGTTGGTGGAGGAAGTGAGTTCTTTACACACCCAGCTCTGCTTGCCCCAGGAAACAGGCTTGCCCTTTCAGGAGTTGGAGGAGAGGAGACCCCCCAGAGTGGCTCCAAAGCTCCCAGGACAGATTCTGGTGCTGCAGTCAATAGTCAATAGTCAATAGTCAATTCAGACTATTATCATATGACTCAACAATTACACTTCTAGGTGTGGGCCCGAGTCCAAAACAGGTGTCCACACCGACCCTTGTACGTGCATGTTCATAGCAGCACTAATCACGATTGACAGAAGGTAGAAACAACCCAAGTGTCCATCAGCTGATGAAGGATGAACAAAATGTGGTCCATCCACACAGTGGAATATTACTCAGCCATAAAAAAGGAATGAAGCACTGACACGTGCTACAACGTGGATGAACCTCTAAAATGTGATGCTGAGTCAAAGAAGCCAGCTAGACACAAAGGGCCACATGTTATGTGACTCCATTTATATGAAATGTCCAGAACAGGCAAATCCAGAGACAGAAAGCAGATTAGTAGTTGTCAGGGTCTCAGGGATGGGCAGTGGGAAGTGACTGCTAATGGGGATGGGGTCTTCTTTGGAAGTGATGAAAATGGTCTGGAATTAGATAGAAGTGATGGTTGCACAACACTGTGAATGTGCTAAATGCCACCTAATTGTTCACTGGAAATGATTAATTTTATGTGATTTTCACCTCGAGTAAAAAAAAAAAAAAAAAGGCCTGACTAGGTCACTCACCAACTGCTGCAAGTGACCTAATCATTTGTGCCCCACGGTGAGGTTTTGGGCCTCCCAGGTGTGGGAGACTGAGACGTCCTAAAATGTCAGCCTGCCTGCCCTGGGTTGACCAGATAACAGGCGTCCCACCTTCCTTCCTGGCACTTGTCACACCAGCTCTAGATAGTTAGGTAGTTAGGAGGCCACACCCAGGAAATGCCTTGTTTTAAAAGCTACGTGACTTCACCTGTGACCTGAAGCTAGCAAATTAAAGTCACTAGGAAGTGGTGGCAAACACAGTGTCCCCTCTCACAGCAGCCCAGAACATGGAGATGGCACTCCAGCCACTCAGCCACATGAGACCACAGCAAAGGGACCATCTTGGAGGGACCGAGGCCACAGAGTGAACACATGCACATACACACACATGTATGCAAAGACTTGAGATGGAGGGGACACATCCATAGGATTGAACATTTATTCTGGTTTCCTTGATGGGGCTGAGACCCCACAACGGGGAGGATCCACCTCAGTTGGCTCCAAAGTCTTGTTTGAGGCAAGAAAGTATATGCACTGGAGCCACCACTGCCTGAAACACCCCCATTTGATGCAGCGACTGGTGTATCCGCCCTCTATACAAGCAGTGTTGACCATGCACTGAGCTGAGGATGCTCCTCAGACCACTCCCAACTTGAGGATGTCCCCTTCCTTCACAGATGAGGAAACTGAGGCACAGCCAGATTTCCCCTTCTTCCTTTGGAGGACAGGGCGGGAGGATCAGAGAGAACAGAGGCCAAATTCCACTTCCTGCTTCCTAAGCTCCATCTGGCCCTGGCTTGGTCCCTGAGATCTGTATGGCCTCAGGGTCAGGCACCCAGGGTCCCTACATGTCCATCGGACCCAGGACTTTCCACCAAGCTCAGATCTGCTCCCCGTCACAGTATGCTGGTTACCACACCTGTCCTGGGCCCCACTCAGGCCACACCTTGCCCACCTGCACTGAGGCCCACCCCCACATTGGCTCCCATCAAATAAAAGCTGCCAGCACTGCGAAGGTGCTTCCGCTGTACCAGGTGCTCATCAAAGTGTGTGACCTCCTCTCAGCCACCCAGTGAGGTGGGTTACAGATGAGGAAACTGAGGCCCAGGGAGCTCATGTAACTCACCCAAAATCACACAGCCACTGGTGGTCAAGCAGGCTCTAAACCCAGGCCTTTTGGCTCACAGCCCACAGCTTCCAAGAGCTTTATCCTACTCACAGCTGGGTCCTTACTGCCTAGCATACAATAGGTACTCAATTGATGCTCATGGATTAATTGCTTTCTTATGGAACTCACAACTCACTCTCCCTCTGCCTGGGGTGCCCAGCCCCATCTGGCAAGCTCCTACTCATACCTCAAAGCCCTGTTTATAATGCCCCCTCCTTAAGCAGTCTTCTTGGCATCCCCCCCTGGGTTCCTCTAGCCCTTGTCCTTTCCATGAGCCCAGCTATGAGCCCATGGGACTGGAGGTGCCCATGTCTGGCTTCTGGTATCACCCTGCACAGGCTAGGCAGGAGGGGGTAGGGAGGATGGGGAACATTAGGGATGTTAGAGCTCCCCCACCCATCTGTCTTCTCTTCCTCTCCTCTCTGGCAATGGGAAGAAAACTTCCTGGAGCAGGAAAAAGTTATTTTATTAGAAAATAAAGTGTTTATTCAAAGAACATTAAAAGTCTGAGGACTTGTGTGGGCGTTGGCGTGAGCAGGATTGAATCTCAGACTCATCCAGGTTGGGCGTGGAGCTCCTCTCCACAGAGTTGGGGCCTCAGGGAAGGCCAGGTGGGGACTCCAGGGTCCGACAGGCAGGCAGGCAGGCGGGGAGCAGTTGGCGAGCACCAGGACTCAGTGCAGAGCTGCGGCTGGTGAGCTGGGCAGCCTCCCAGGCTCAGCAGCTCACCAAGTACATCCCTGTGGGGGTGTGGCAGTGAGGAGGAGGATCACTTGTCCCTACTCTGGGACCCCCAATCCTCCTCAAAGCACCCCTTAACTTGTGGCCCCATGGACCACAACAGCCCCTTGTGGGGGCAGGAGAATGGGGTGGGAGTGAGAGAGGCATGGCAGTGTGGCTTCTGGCTCCTCACCCTAAATCCTTGCAGGGGCACCCATCCTTCAGGGGACAGCCCAGACACATGAATCTTCCTTCTTGACCCCTCCCACTGGGGCCCTGCCAACCCCTCCCTGCCTGTGGCCCCCTTCCGGGGTCTTTCTATACCCTGACACCCACTTATCCTTCCCAAACACCCCAAATGCCTCCCCCAACCCCTCCACCCTGGCAGAAGCAGGGGATAGAGCTTGGTTCCAGGGGGTGAGGCAGCAGAGTGGGGGCATACCTGTGGCGAACCTTCTCTTTACCAGTGACATGCGGTAACCACTGCCCACCAGCTCCAGGTCCACGCCGGACAGAGTAGCCCCCTCACTGGTGAACTGAGCAGCCACAGGACTGGGCGTGCTGGGTCCTGAGCATGGCTCCCAGCTGGCAGACAGGTGGCCAGAGCCTGGGGAGGCCTGAGATCAGCTGTGTCCTATCCCTGGCCCTCGTCCTGCTCTAAACTGTGCTCTTCCTTGGCTCTGTACCTAAGTCCTTTGATCTGTTGCTTCTGTCTGCCCCTCTGACCTTCTCTGGCGCCCCTGCACCCTTCTCCTTTGGCCCCGTGGGGCTGTGTATGGTTTGCGAAGGAGTTCTGCCTCAGGGCCTTTGCACCTGCTGTGCTCCTCCTCTAGCTTTGTCAAAGCACTTCCAGGACTGTCTCCATGACCACACTTCCCCACCCCCAACACATCCCTGATTCATCCCCAATACTCCCCAGTTTAGATAAGCCCTCCCATCTGAGACCCCCGAGCCCTCATGCACAACCACAACTCACCCCCTGCCTCAGACACATCCGGAAGCTTCCATAGGAGCCGCTTCTCTTCCAGGTTCCTGGCACCAAGAGAAGATTGGTCAGGTCTACCCCAGGGAGGACATTGAGAGCCCAGGGTCTTAGTTCAGTTGCCTCTCAGCCACATGACCCAAGCAAGCCAGATCCCCTCCCTCACCTCAGTTCCCCCATCCCCCCCACCCACCCTCTCAAAGGCCCCACAGCCTTGCAGCATTTTTAGATGAGGCATTTGGTCCTATAAGTCTGGCTTCCTCATGGCAGGCTCTACTCATTGTATAAAACTCACGCAATGTTGTGCAATGACTGAGGGCGTGGGACCAAGAGCACGGGGCTGGGTTCAAAGCCTGATGTGACCTCAGGTAAGCAATTTAGCCTCCCTGTGCCTGAGCTTCCCCTTCATAAATGGTAATGATCGCAGTCTACATTTGGAGGGATTGCTAAGAGCCTTAAACTAGTCTGTGTGTAGAGTCCATGGAATATTCCTGAGACGGAGGAAGCGCACACTATCAGATGTTATGATTGTTAATAACAACACCCTCAGCTGTAAACAGTGTGAGCTCACAGTGACTGGTTGGGCCCAGGACAGACCCTTTAGTTGCTGCATCAAGGGGGGCTCTAAGAAATTCAGGGGTACTGCTGAGTCTCCCTTGCCCTCCTGCGTGCCCTTACCAGGTGGCAGCCGGCTGCAGGCGGACGTTGGTCACAGGCTCCCCAACAGGCAGCAGGATCTGGACATTGGTGAGTGGCGTGGGCACAGCTGTGGCACCCGGCCGGTAGCTGTACTCTACCGAGACCTGAGTGAGGGTCGCCCCGCACTGCCAGTGGGCGCTCAGCTGTAGAGGCACAGACTGGGAACCCGGGCGGGAGAACTAGAGGGAATGAAAACAGGAGACAGGACATAGCTTGGGCCATCCTGTCCTGCCACACTGCACTATCAACCAGCCTGAGTCTGCGCTGCACACACCACCCCAAGGGACCCTTTCCTGGAGACTTTGTAGACAGGAGTATGCATTACACCACACTTCCAGCAGAGGGCAGGAGAGCAGCTCATTCTAACAAAGTCTGTGGACAGGTACCAGTGCAGAGTTTCTTCTAATTTGCATAATGGTGCTGCATGCACTGTGGAGGCCTGGCCTCCTACACTCCTACACTGCCTACCCAACCACCATTTATTCCCTGTCCACCCTGCATCACCCCCACCCCCCCACCCCTGTTTTCCTTATCCTGGCCCCTCTGCTCAGCCCATCCACCTGGCTCACCTGGTACCGCAGCAACAATACGTTGTAGTAGGAGGCAGCTGGATTCTGCTCTGCCTGGCGCTGCAGGGTCTCAGTCAGGGCCACCATGTTGAGCCAGAAGTCTTTGGTCTCAGGATCGCTCTGGGAGGGGTCACTGCAGAGACCGGGAATAATCACCCTCACCCTCAAGAGAAGCCTTCTCAGGGCCCCCACCTACCCCAAGGGCTTCTTAAAGATGCAGTAAAGCGTGGCAGGGGGTAGGAGGGAAGCAAAGGAGGGCAGAAAAGTGAGGTCCAGAGTTGGGGAGAGACTTGCCTAGGGCCTCACAGCAAATTCTGGGAGGCAGAGGAGGAATTCAGAGCGGGGGAGCTCCTGGCCCCCACTAGCCTCAGGGACTCCACCCCTACCCCCCTCCTCCCAACAGTACCTGAAGAGCAGGTCAGCATTGGGCTGGAAGTGCTCAATAGGGGCTGTGTGCACAAGGCGGAAGCTGAGCACAGGTGGGGGTGGGGTCCCGCTGAATACACGCACGATGCCAGCTGGGAAGGTCATGGTCAGCTCCCCAGTTATTCGAGCCAGGCAGCTGGATGAGAGGTGAGGAGACTGGGCTTTGGCTCAGGGCTCTGCCCAGCACCTCATCCTCCCCTCTCTCCTGGCTCTACTGCAACCTATGGCTCCCTGGGCCCCTCAGAAGCAACAAGGCCAGCATCCTTACCCCCAACCTCCTCCCCTATGTCCCTGCCTAAACAGCAATGCAGGCACCAGGAGGAATCCACACTAGGCTGGAGGAGGCAGGAATACCCCCTTTCCTAGCTCTCTTTTCCCCTAGGCTACCAGGAAGCTCACAGCAAAGCATTCAGTTTTGTGACTGTCCTCAGGTTGGGTTTTGGGTCTAATACTCTCTTCCTTTTTGTGGTTTGAATTGAAGGTCTTTTCTGCTGGACACCGCCCCCAGGTTATCCCTGGTTCCTCAATTCACCCTTCGCCTGCCCCCTCCATGGACATGGCCTCTGGTCTTCCTCCCTTCAGATGGCTGCTTACAGCAGCCTCAGAGAAGTTCCTCTAAGCTGTGGCTACAATACCTAGCCCTGCTCAAACGCCCTCTGTGGCTCTCACCGCCCTCAGGACAGGGGCCTGGTTGCTCAGCTCAGTATAAGAGGCTCTTCCATGGTAAAGCAAGTCACAAAACACAGCTAAAGGCTGTCCCTGCTGCAACCCAGATGCACAGCCCCCAGAGAGCCCTGTTTGCCTGTCACTGTCTACACTGTCCCTCATCACAACGTACCTATGGCTGTGGCCACGAAAGTAGGCATGGACATACTCAGTGAAGGCGGTGGCCACAGGCAGGGAATCCTGGAAGCCCAGGACCACAGGGCTTGGGCCCCGGGAGACTCCTGGGGTGATGGGGAGAGAATGGGGGGACAGACAGAGAGTGAGCACACAGGTCCCAGGCTCTAGAACCTGCCCTCTGCCACCAGGGCCTCCATTATATTACTTCGCCTCCAACCCAGAACAGAGAAGGTGAAACCCACCTGTACCGTGTCCTATCTGGGATGAGAAGCTGGAACGTTCCGGGATGGTGTTGGGAGCTGAAGAGCCCAGCGGGGAGGGGCTCAGGGAACGAGACTGGAAGGGAAGGAGACAGGCTGGGCTGTGAATACCAGAGGAGCAAGGTCCTGATGCTGACCCCAGAGGCGAGCCCCAGCCCAGCTCCTGCCACGCTCCCTCACCCTACCAGGTCCCCGTTGCTGCGAGTGAGGGGGCAGGACACTTTTCTGGAGCGGGGTCTCCGGGGTGGGGCTGCCAGGCCCTCCCTGGCTGTAAGGTCGGCAGGTACGGGCATCAGGTCTGGGAAGCGTGTGAGAAAGACATGACTGAGATGCTGTCCTGGGCCTCTCGGGCCACCCCAGGAGAGGAACTCAGCCAAAAATTGGGAGTCGGGCTTATGGTGGGCAGACCCCCTAATGGTCTGAAATCATGAAGATGCAGAGAAGGTGCCAGACAGGACTGCAGATGCCATTCACAACCCTGAACCTCCCAGACACCAGATTGGTGGCCCAATAAGGGGTGAGCTCCCTGTCCCTGGGGGGATGCTAGCAAGGACTGGATGCTCAGGGGGCAAGTACGCTACAGGGAGGATTAGGCAGAGTGTTTTTAATCTAACATTCATCAATTTTATGACCTTCATCCTCTCTAAGAGTATGTGGGTGGCCTCCTACTCTGGCCCACATCTGAGTCTCACCCTTTAAAGTGAACTAATCATGACGTAAGACCAGGTTCCCCTCGCTCTCCTGCCTCCCCAGTGTCCTCTGCTCTGCTCCATCTACAAACACTTGCTCACCCACCTCCCCTCCCACCTACCTGCCAGGGTCTCTCAACAGTACTGATGACACCGGGGCTGGATCATTCTCTGGGGTGGCACTGTCCTTTGCACTTTAGGGTGTTGAACAGCATCCCTAGCCTCGAGCCACCAGATACTAGTAGTACTCATCTCCCCAGTGGTGACACGCAAATGTCAATGGTGACATTGCCAAGTGTTCCCTGGGGGGGCAGAACTGGCCTAGTTGAGAATCCCTGTTCTACAGTGAAGCTCAGACAACTCAACTCGTGGTCTATACTCACTCCCTTGGGTCCTGCTTTGAAGCAACTCCAACCAGGGTCTTTCTCTAACTATGGACAGTGCCAAGCACGCCTGTCTTCACTGCTGGGGACTTCATGTGGTCACAGCCCACAGTTCCTCTGATGCAAGGGGGACTCCACTCTTCTCACAGTACCCCCAGGAGCCCACTCCTGCCTGCTGTCCTCTTCTCTCCACCTGCTAGCCTGGCCCCACCTTCGCCCTGGACGCTCTCTGCTCCTCTCCAGTCCCTGGGCGGCCTCCCCCTGCTTGGTCCCATCTCCCTGCTGACATCTTCCTCACCTCTCCCTTCTCTCTGTCATCTCTGTTCCAGCCACACTAGTGTCCCCACCGTTTCTCAAGGGGCCTAACCCACTCCCACCCTAGGACTTTGCAGGGGCTGTGCCTTTTGCTGGGAACACCCTTACCCCCACATGAATATAGCTTCATCCTCATCTCCATCAAACCTCATCTCAGATGTCCCTCCTTAGGGAGGCTCCACCCTTGTGAGCCCTCGCCAAGCATCTGCCACCTTCTGCCTTGTTATATATTCATCTCATTGTCCCCGCAAGGGTTGGGTTTTCTGCCCACCTCAGTCCCAACTGTGTCCTCAGCACATCGGGTGCTGATCACAATAAATGTGCAATTTGCCCCCCCGCCAGGGTTCTGATAACTCAGATTGGAGGGTGCCACTGGACTCACCTCCTCCAGCCACAGCCTCCAGCCCCCAGGGGCCTGGAGATAATGCGAGGGGCTGTGGCGCATCTGAGTCCGATGGCACCTGGGGCCGTATCCCCCTTAACTCCAGCGGCTGTGCCCTACAGATAGGTGGGCTTTGTGGGGTTCCCGGGCGGAGGACCCAGGAATCTGGGGAGGGACCAGGTGCTGCATGGGATGGCGAGTCCAGGCCAGAGTCCTCCACATTTTCGGGCGAGGAGGAGGAGAAAGGTGAGGGGCTGGAGGTGAAGCCAAGACTACTGGAGCCTGGGGGAAAAGGGGTGGTCAGCTCCAGACTTCACCCACGCAGAGCCCCATCTTCCTACAGGCCACGCCCACATTGAGGAAAGGCCCACCCCCATTCAAAGCTCGTGCCCAACTCCCCCCACCCCTCTGGTCACTTCCACTTATCTCCACTGATGCCCCACCCACTGCCATCCCCGTTCCCACAAGGCCCCTGTGTCTGAATCTGCCCATGAGCATTGTGACCATGCCCACCCTCACAGTGGTCTGGCCCCATAGATCTTTCCTTTGACCCACAAAGGACCCCCCACATCCTCCCACCAGCTCAGCCCACCATCATCCTTGCAATGGCCCCACCCATTTTCCCACTGGCCATGCCCATAGCCCCTGAAACCCTTATCCCATCACCTGTAAAATCTTCGTGGTCAAAGGTGGACTCTAGGGGCGGCCCAAAGAGGTTCTTGGAAACCTGCTCATCTGATTGCAGTTTCTCTGCACAGCTGGGGACCAAATGGACAAGAGGACTTGTTCTGTTGTTTCCAGGCCTCCTCCAGCTTCAGGGCCTTTGCACATGCTGCTTTTGGTCTGGCCTTCTCTTCCCCAGCACTCCCTGTGCCACCTCTTGTTTCTCTTCAGGACTCAGCTCAAAGTCATCCTCTCTCCATCCCAGAGGCCCTCCACCACTGGCCTAACTGAAGTCACCCACTCCTATCTTCTATCATATCACCTGCTTTAGTTTCTTTATAACACTTAGAAGTATTGAATATGCTCTAACTTAATTGTTATTCTTAAAATCTAAGCCACTAGAATGTGACTCTGAGAGGGGACCCTCTCTTAGTCATATATCCCCAAAACCCAGAATGGCATGGGTACACAGCAGGCACTCAATAAATGTTCACCAAATGAATCATTAAGTGGCCTCTCAAAAACAGCATGGCCTCAACTCCCTGCCCTGGTGAAAGAAGGGAAGACAGAGGTACGGGGAGGCAGCCAGGAAAAAGAGGCAATGGGGGTGGCTCTCACCTGCCCATTTATGACAGCCCGATTTCCCACACCTGTGGAACTCACCTGCTAGCCCTCGGGGCAGATCGAGGCCTCTGTGGTTTCCCAGCAGTATCCCCTATGAGAGATGGGCCTCCCTGAGCCTTTCTGTTGCCCCGCCTGTAGTGCTCCCCACTCCACAGACCAGGAGACTAAGGCCCAGGGCTGTACAGCCAGGTGCCCAGGGTAACCAAATCAGGCAGAGAGGGATTTGAACCTGAGCCAAGCTGTCTCCAAGTTTTGGCTTCTTTCCCAGCTACTCCTTTTGGGCCTCATTAAATTCTCATAATGACCCCATTTTATAGGAGACTGAGTGTCAGAGTAGGTAAGCATCCTGCCCCAAGTCACACAGCAGAGCTGGTATTCAAACCATACCCACACTCCAGACCCTGCCTCCCCTCCATGTTCTATTCCCCAAACCGAAGACTCCTGAACAGGTGACTCACGTGAAGAATGGCGTTTCATCGTGCCCTGTGGACAAAGCGGGTAGCATTAGGTTGAGTGCATCCAACCAGCCCCACCAGCCCCACCCAGAACACCTCTCCCATGCCTCACCCCTGGGCCAGGAGGGAGGATGAGGCTGCCAGCTGTGGCCCTGAGCTGTGCGACGGCTGCCTCGGGGCTACAGGCTGGAGCCCGGGCTGGGGCAGGCTTGATGTGCACATAAAACTTGCGGGGCTCCTCATCATCAAAGTCGGAGTCACTGGACGAGAAGCGGGAGGGCTCGGCAGTGCGTGCGCTTCAGTCAAGGGGCCAAGCAGATGCTAACACAGGGCCTCCCTCTAGTCAGCCCTCAAATCTGACCACATCCTTTCCTGCTCAAACCCTTTGAGGCCCTGAAGAATTCTATCTCTCATCACTTGTCACCTTTGGCCCTGACACCATGTTCCTCCCCACCCCCTGCTCCCATTCAAGCCTTTGCACAGGCATGACCTGCCCTAACTAGTGAACTCCTATTCAGCTGCTAAGCCCCAACTCTGGGGCCCTCTCCTTTAGGAAGCCCTCTTGGCTCCTGTCTATGGTAACCCAGCCCCTCCTCTCTTCCTCCTGCCCATCTCTGACCCAACAAAGCAGGTGTCTGCATTTGGATTGGCTTTGTCCACATTACAGTCTCCCCCCAGGGTGTACACAGAGAGGGCTATTAATGGTGGGAGGGATCACTGTCGACAGAGCTTTGGTCTTGCTGTGCCAACAACTGCTCCATGGGGCGCCAAGAGGATATTGTTCTGGGTCACATCAGGTCGGACAGTGAAACCTTCTTCATCCACCTCTGGACATGCCTTGGGGGACAAGTGGTGAGTCAGATTCTTCCCTACTGAACCTCCCCACTCACCCTTCCCAGCCCCCCATTCCTCGTCCTTAGACCTAATATCGGCCTCGATGGCACTCACCCCTAAATCAGGCTCCAAAGAATCTCTGCGGATGGAAAAAGATGTTGGTGTCATCTTCCCCACCTCATTTGCCCCCCATCGGCCCCCAACATTGGACATGGCAACTTGGGGGACCTGGACTGTGATATTGTTCTGAGCTAGCCCTTCAGGTGGTGGAATCCTGGGGCTTGCTTAGGGTGGCGGTGGGGGGCAGTGAATGTGGAGTTAGCCAAGCAAGGGGTGTTCTCAAACAGCATGGAAGGGGAGGAACCCTGGAGCTCATCTGAAGGGCTGGCCTGAGACAGCAGGGAACGTAGGGGCTAGCTTTGACAAAGGGAGGAGTCCTGGGCCAGCCTGGGCAGGGGTAATCCTGGGAGAGTCTGGGGCAGGCAGCCCCTGGTCTAGCCTTGGCAAAAGGAAGAATTCTGGACTAACTTAAGCAGCAGTAATATTGAATTACTGTGGGACAGAGGTACACCTGGTCTAGCTTGGAACAAGAATACTCCTGGTCTACTCTAAGCAGGGGACTTTGGGGACTGCCTTGGCAGGGGGAGGGATACCAGGCTAGCCTGGGCCAGGGCTGGGCAGGGGTGCTTCCTCACACAGCTGCAGGTGGCTCCCGCTCCCGCCGGCTCAGTCCTGGAAGGCGAAAGGCCTTGGCTCCCCGCAAACGTTTCATTGCTAAAAACAGATCAGGGACACAGGTGAGCCCTGGGGGTGGCCCCTTCCCATTCAGCTCTGCCTCCCTTTCCTCATGGTCCAGCCTGGGCACCCAGGCCCAGACGTACTTGCCTTCCTGCAGGGCAGCTGTGCTATACGCCTCAAAGTCCAAAGGCCCTGAGACAGAAGAGATTGAGAAACTCAGTGGATGGGAGCCTGGACTTGGGAAGGGTAGCAGTACAACTTTAGCCACATAATAGCACATGAGCCAAGATGCTGAACCAGCCTCAGAGATGATCATGAGTGGGATGTGCCGAAGTATCTGCTCCCACCTTGGGATGGACTACAGGTGTCATGCCTGAGTTACTCTACTTCCAGTATCTCTGAGTGGAACTTGGGTGGGTTAGGGGATGAACCACAAGTCTGTGCAGTGGGCTGGGTCTCAAGTGCCAGGATGAGGAGCTGGGACTCTCTCCTAAGGGTGATGGGGAGCTATGGATGGTATGTGAGCAGGAGCAGGGCATGATTGATCTGGGGCAGCGAAGGGCCAGAGTGGGCCCACACAAGGAGAGGTGGCCTGAGCCAGAAGGGAGCTATAGAGACAGGAGGGAGAAAGGACAGACCTTAGTGGTTGACTAGACTTGGGGACACAGACTGTGTACTGACATTTACTGAATGCCTCCTGTGTTCCAGGCACATACTTTGCCCTTTACCTGCATCAAATTACTGAATATTCACAACACCATCAGGTGGGGATTAGTATCATCCCCACTTTCCAGATGGGGAAACCAAGGCTAAGAGAAGTCACACACCCAAGGTCACACAGCAAGCAATAAAGAAAAAACTCAAATCTATATCTGACCCCAAACTTTTGCTCTCAACATTTCCCCAACCCTACACCTGGGCAGTTTCAAACTGTTTTTTTGTTCAACAACCCTCAATGGCTCCCTTGGGTTCTTGGGATCAAGTCTGAACAGCTAAGCCTGACATTTAAGGCCCCTCTAGTATCTTGTTGTAAGATTTTACACATAAGCTCAGGCATCAAACCCTCTTCCTCTGTGGGCTGTGGAGTTAGATTTATCATCAGCCCATTTTTCTGATGAAGAAACTGAGGCCCAGGGACGTCTCCTGCCTCTTGAATCATGCTCTTTCCATGCCGCTGTGGCCCCATAGCTTGACCCCAACAGATGCCTTGACTCACCAGGCTTCTCCCGGCCCGTGCCCTTGCTCTCTGCAAATTTTCTCAGCAGCATCTCCACACTGATGTTCTCTATGTTTTGCTTAAACTCTTCATGAACCTGAGCCGGGTGAGCAGAGTGTGTAACTGGGCAAGGCCAGAGCCCCCGCCCTTATTCCCCATCCCCGGTCCCACTCACCTGCCCAATCTGCACATGAGTGTCCTCCACTGAGTGGGCATAGGAGCCCAGCAGTGCCTTCATGTGCCGCAGGTGGGTCTCCTCCATGGCTTGGAAGCGCTGAAGCAGAAGGGGAGGGGCAAATGGAAAGGTGGAGGCTATAAGGAGTGGCCATGTCACTCAGCCTGACCAATCAGAATGTTCCAATCCCTTGGCCTCAGTGATTGGTTTGGGGAAGAGCCAATAACAATCTGCCCTGGGACTTCTGCTGGAACTATAGGAAAAGAGACACTTTCATATCCTGAGTCAATGGATTGATGGGATGCATGCGGAGGCTGCTGGTGGCTACTTTGCTGTGTGTGTGCACATGCACGTGCACACACACGGGCATGTCTGCTTGGCAATGAAGCCTCAGAGAGGAAAACAGACTTGAAAAGGAGGCACAACTTCCTGTCAACACCATTTGAACACCTGGACACAGCCATGCCTGGAGCCCCCCTCAAACTTTTCAGTTCCCTGAGCCTATAAATCTTCCTTTCAATTTGCATGAAGGTTTCTGTCATTTGTAACTCTCTATCACTTGCACATATAAATAAATAAATAAATAAATAATAAGAATAACAGTAAGAAGAAGACTCCTAATCTTGAGATTCCAATCTGCTTTTCCTCATTTGGGTAGACAGAGATCCAGAGAGGTGCAATATCTTATAAAAGGTTACATAGCTGGTAAGGAATGGAGGCTGGGCCAGAATGCAGGCCTTTCAGCCATCATAAAGTGTCACAAGACTCTTAGCTTCTAAATCCTGCCCTATTGTGTTCTGTTCAAAAACCTCATCAATAATAATAGAAATAATAGTGTACCTCATAGAGTGATTTCTATGCACCTGGTACTAGTCTGAAAACTTCACATGTAGTGACTCATTTAACTTTCACAACAACTCTATGAGGCAGGTAGTATTACTGTCCCATTTTTTTTACTGTCTTCATTTTACAGATGGGGAAACTGAGGCACAAAATGATTTTTTTTTGTTTTGTTTTGTTTTGTTTGTTTGTTTTTGCTTTTGGAATAACAATATCAACAATGACAGTAGCTAACTGGCTCTAGAATTTGATGGCTTTATGCCTATGATTCTGAGGCTCCTGGGAGTTGAGGGTGTGGGAGGTTCTGGAATTCTGAGGCCCATGGCATCCTGGACCCAGGGATGTGTAGGTCTCCAAGGTATGACTCCCAGTTCTTACTAGAGCTGAGTCCAGCATCTTCTGCTCGAAGTCAGCGCGGGCTGAGTTATACTTCTCCACTGAGCGCCGCAGGCTCTCCGCTGCCTTCTTGGTCTTGGTCTCTGCCTAGGAGGCATAGGGAGGGGACCAGGTTGGAAGGGGACACTAGGGTGCTTTGCCTTTACCCCCTACCCCCTGCCTCATCACCCAGCTGGTAGACTCCTTGGGGTGCCCAGGATGTGGTGATCACATCCAGGTTCAATGACCATCACTCTGTGATGTTTTCACTCTCCCATCAGTCAGCCCCATCACCCCTTAGCAAACTCCTTGGATCTGCATGGACTGGTGTCAGCTGGAGACTTGCAGCCATGGGCTCACCTTGTCCATCTCTTTCTGGCTGGTGTTCTCCCTGCGCAGCCGCTCTTGGTCCATGCACCGGTTCAGGTAGTTCTCACGGGACTTGGGCAGGAGCTGGCTGACGCCTGCAAGGGCCTGCACGGCATCCAGGGTGCTCACTGCTTCCTCTTTGCACTGCGAGGGCAGGGAAGGGGGAGTGTGTGGACCACCTGAAGCCCCGGATGGGGGACAGGACCTGAGCAGAGTGGATTGTGAAATTCCCAGCTTCCCAAACACTGTGGGATTCCAGGTCCCATAAAGTATTCTTGAGTATTCTTTTAATTTCAAAACTTATAACTTTTTTTTTCAAAGACCCTATTGGGGAATTGGGGGAGGGGGTCAGCATTGGGGAATCGGGGAAGGGGAACAGACAAGTTGCTGTCCTTTTGTTCTTCAGTCTAGTTGTGGAGGACGTCGCTTCACTGGCCCATGTTGGTATTATCATTGCAATCTTCCCGGGTTAGGCAGTCACCTGCCGGCCATTGGACGGCCACTCAAAGTGGCTCACGGCAGCTCACGAAAGCGCACGCTAGCTGCCGGACAGCCCCACTGCAGCCTATGCCATCGCCTGTGACTCATGGCAGCCCAGCTCCAGGTCGAGCTGCTGTTCACCACCTTAGCTGTAGAGGGCGCAGCATCACTGGCCCTCTATGTGGGATCCGAACCGGGGCCCTGATGCTCAGAGCTGGCGTCCCAAGCCAACTCTTAACCAATGTGCTCCTTGGCCGGCTCAAAACTTGTAATTTTTAAAATAGGTAATATTTACATAAAATTCCTATTTCAGAAAGTTTTAAGGGGTGAGCTTAGGAAAAACCTTTCATACCCTGATCCCTAGCTTAGGAGTCCCCACTATTACCATATGTCTTCAGAAATAATCAGCACATGGATAAGGAAATGTGCTTGTTCTAGCCCATTTTTTATTATGACATTGGGGCAGTCTGTACTGTTTAACTCACTGATTTTTCCATTTCATAATCCACTTCCAAAACTGTTTCACATCAGCCCATAGAAATTTTCCTTGTCCCCCAATTTTAAAAAATGTGGTTAAATACACATAACATAAAATTTAGCATCTTAACCATTTGTAAGTATACAGTATTAAGTACTAGGACCAACTCCCCTTTTTTAATAAGGGTTAAAATCTGCAGATTCTGGGGCAAAGCACCTATAACTCTAGAATTACAACTTGCAAATACTTTGGGATCCTGAGAGTCTAAAGCTTGCACTTTCCAAGATTCTAGGTTGAAAGAGTCTAGAAAAGCCAAATAATAAGATCTGTAGCTTCTAATGTTCAAGATCAGGGGTTGGCAAGTTTTTCTGTAAAGGCACAGAATAAATGGGTTCACTTGTCATGGACTCACAAACACTATGTACACGAATGCACATGGCTGTGTACCAATAAAACTTTATTTACTGGTACTGAAATCTGAGTGTCATATCATTTTCACGTGTCACAGAATATTCTTCTTTTGATGTTTTGCCCTCACCACTTGAAAATGTAAAAACCATTCTTAGCTCGCAGTCTATACAAAAACAGGTGGTGTGTTGGTTCTGGTCTGCAGGCCGCAGTTTGTAGACCACTGGTCTAGGATTTTGAGTGTCTGAAATGTCTGATACTTCCCTGGTCGGTGGGGTTCTGGGTTTGATGTTGTGGAATTACCAGGATTCTCAGAGGCACACACCAGGGCCTGGAGGTGCGAAGGCCCTAGAAGGCCTGGGTTCCTTCCAGCTGCTGGCATCCCCAGCCCACCCCATTAGGCAGTACCCACTGGGCACACACCTTCTTGTGCATCTTGAGCTGCTCCTCACTGTAACGGAGCATGTCCTTGATGAGATCCTGCAGCTTCCGTGTTAGCTCCAGGTGGCAGAGTGCCAGCTTGTCCGAGGAGACACGGAAGACCTCCCAGAGTGGAGCGAAGGTCCTGGAGACGGGCAGGGTCACATCCAAGGCCCGGGAGGCCCAACCCCCAAGGGTCCCCTCAGATAACATGGTTGGCATTGGCTCAGGCACCTACTGTGTACTGGGCCCTGCTAAGCATCAACACATAATAACTCATTTAATCCTCACTGCAACCATACAAGGCAGGCCTGTGACAGATAGGGAACTGAGGCACAGGGGGCTCTGTAACTCATGCAAGGCTCATTTGCAAATAAACATTAGAGCTGGAATTTAAATCCAGACCCTGAGGCCTCAGCGTCCTCACTCGAGACTCCAGGCCCCACCTGATACCCAAAGGCAGCTAAGACCCAACCTGTCCAAACCAAGTTGGTGGGGCCCTCCCACCTCAGCAGAATCCCCTTCTGGCCCACCCCTCTGCCTTCCCTCCCTGCTGCCTTCATTTCTGCCCCTGACAGAACTTTTGCCTCACAGCAACTACAGGGAAATATGCAAATGCCAATGGGACCACATCACATCCTTGTTTAAAAGAAACCTGTGTGTTGGGACCCTATGCCCAGCCCCGCCATTTCATCTCCACCTGGCCCAAGCCCTGCAGCTATGCCAGACTGACTGTTGCTCTTCCTTGGACATGCATAGTGCATGGCTGTCTTTGCACTGGCAGAGCTGTCTACCTGGGTCTCTGTCCCCTAGACACTCACATGGCCAATTCCTCATTATTAAGGTCTTTGCTCATGGAAACTGGGCCCAACCCAGAAGAAGCACCTGTCCTCTCATGCTCCTATTTAATTCCTTTCGTATCACTTTTCACCCAGGAAAGGAATTTGTTCGAGTGTGTGGTTAACATCTGTCTTGTCATACATCCCAGATGTGCACAGCACGAACACAGCATGATTGAGGGTTTTATCTGTCTTGATAATGGCTGGATCCCCAGTACCTAGAACAGTACCTGGCACATAGTAGGTGCTTAGTAAATCTTTGTTGAATAAATGAATGAGCTAGTGAGTGAATTAATGAGTTACCTTCCTCTGTTCAATAAGTCCCATAAGTGCGGGGATGATTCCCTGTCCTACATACATATCATGCGTGTGAAGAGATGTCCACCCAAAGACAGGCTCCTAATGATCCCAGGGCCTCGCAATCTTGGGGACCCCCTACCCCATCCTTGGGTCACTCACCCCACGGGAGTCCCATTGCTGGCCAGCTTGGAAAGTTTCGCCATTGCCTTCGAGTAGGTCTCCTCAATAGTGGCCCTGGGTAGTGGAATGCAGAAAAGATGGGGAAAGTTCTGGGCACCCATGGGAGAGGCCCTGACCTCCCTGTGCCTCAGTATCCCCATCTCAAACATCTGAGCAGTGGCTCTCAGTGAGGACAGTATGGAGGAAAGCGTTTGGTAAATTCAAGGGAGAGGTTTTTATCCTTAAGTAATACATTTTACTAATAACAGTAGCAGGAGTAGCAGCAGCAGGTAAGAAAAGTTTTGAGCACATACTACAAATGCTTTATATGGTTTGTCTTATTTAATTGTAGGAGACAAACTCATATTTTTTTTCCCTCTGGACAGACACTGCTAAATGCCTACCTAGTATCCACTCACATTTTCATCCAGATTAATAGAACCTCATATTTGTGTGGGGCAGCAATGTGTCCATTAAAGCCAATTACCCATGGGGGTATTTTTTGATAAGAGGCACCAATGGGGTACCGCAGGCAAGAGTAGATAATTCCAGGGGCCAAAGTCCCACAAAATAAAGAGGGGCCCCTGTTCTGTACGGCTCAGGCAGTCCCGCTTGACAGGCACAAAAAGAAAAATCTGATTATAATTCTTTTGACTGTCTGCCTGATTTCATGGGCATTCGGCTACTGAGCTGTTGGGTTGCCCCAGAAGGATGCCTTGCAACTTGAGTTTATTATGTTTTCTGGGACACTAACGTCGGAGCATTTACATACTGAAATATAGATTATTTCATCACACATGTGTTTTCTTTTATCATACTTCAGGCACGAGATTGAGTTTTCAAAATTCCCCTTGTAAGTAGGTCATATTTTCTTAGGAGAAGGCATTAGAAACCTGGGGAATGTTTTTGACAAGGGGTCATGGGGCTGCGAGTGTTGAGAACTGCTGGTTTCCAATGTCTTCAAGCAGGTTTTGTTCCTGGAACCCACAGGGTCTGGACCTGATTGGGCAGGGCGTGGTGTGGCTGTGAGGTGAGATGGGCGGAACCACTGTGGGGCGCTGCCATGTGGTGGGTGGGGTGTGGGAGCCTCACCTCTCCCGGATGAAGTCCACCAGCTCCTTGGTGGAGATGGGCCCCTGCTTCACGCTGTGGTACAGAACCTCAAAGCCCTGGTTCTTCTCACCCTGCAGAAGATGGAAATGGAGATTGAGAAAGTGGAATGCAGAAACCAACAACAAAAACCATCAGGGTTGCCTAGCAACAGGGGCGTTGACTTGAGGACCCAACCAGCAGAAGTCTATCCTCCTGGCTGTAAGGATTGGTTCAGGCCTGAGCCAATCAGCCTGTTGCATTTTCCCTAGTCACAAGGATTGGTTCCTGGGCCTTAAATTGGCCTAATCAGAAAGAAGCCTGGGATTTTTATCCTATAGTTGAGGGAGAGACATTTTCCTTTATTGGTTGCCTCTTTCTGACTCTATCTTTCTGTCTTTGTGTCTCTGTCTCTCTCGCTTTCTTTCTGTGTCTCTGCCTCTGTTAGTCTCTTTTCCTGTTTTTTTCTGTCTTCATCTTTTCATAAATGAGGAATTAAGTGGGCACAGGAGATGTTGGAAGCCAAGAGGAAACCATGAACTTTGGAAAGAAGCTGAACCTAAGAGAATTTGAATAACAAGTGTGCTGAGTTGTGTTGCTGGATCAAACCAACACTGAAGGCCACATTACCCCACGTTTCAATTTTGTGAGCCATTGTTGGGTAAGTCACTGTAGTCAGTTTTCTGTTCTTTTCAACATAGAAACTCCCTTTCTGAGTCCCCCAGAGCAAGGTGCAGGACTGATACCTCTCAGGACACAGCCATGTCCAGTAGAGGATGGGGTGCAGAAAGGACATTTGAGTTTGTTGAGTAAATGAACAAATGAGTTATTCTGCATTTACCCAATACTGGTGAGAACAGAGCTTCTATCCCAGTGCCTGCTGGTGTATTGCACAAAACCTCTTTCCTCCCAGTTTCTGGGGTCACCACAGTGGGGGAGGCCCGGGCAAGTCACTGACCTTCTCTGAACCTTTTGTGGCTCCTTGTTAAGATGGGATTAAGGAGTCAGCTACCTCTAATATGGGGATAAATCAACACCACGATGATCAGGGTCCTCAGAGCCCCAAAGGCAACTCTAGTTTTTGCTAATTTGTGGCATTAGTTAATGTTTTGCTTTAAGTTTACTCATGTTTCTTTTCCAAACACTTTTCTTTAAAAGGCAACTTTTACCACTATTCTAAGTGGAACCAGTATCCTATGCCACAATGAAAGGAACAAGAAAAAAAAAATAAAGCAACAGCTATGTAGCTATGTTTTAATGCTGCCAGACTATGTCACATGTAAGGGCATTATACACTAAGCTGTCCATTAAAATGGGAGATCAGGGCCGGCCGAGTGGCACATTGGTTGGAAGCTGGCTTGGGACACCGGCTCTGAGCAGCGGGGCCCCGGTTCGGATCCCACACTGGGGCCAGTGACGCTGTGCCGTCTAGAGCTAAGATGGTGAATGGCGGCTCAACCTGGAGCTGGGCTGCCGGGGGTCACCAGCGACGGTGTGGGCTGCAGTGAGGCTGCAGTGGGCTGCTGTAAAGCTACCGTGAGTGGCTGGCAACCAGCGTGTGTGGCCGGCAGCCAGTGTGGGCTGCCAAGAGCTGCCGTGGGCGGCTGTTCAGTGGCCAGCGACCGATCTGCCTCACTCAGGAAGACCATGGTGATGGTGCTAACATGGGCCAGTGAGGTGACGTCCTCACCAGCTGGACTGAAGAACAAGGGGGATGGCGGCTTGTCTGTTCCCCTTCCCCGATTCCCCAGCGATGTTCCCTTCCCTCAATTCCCCAATAAAATCTTTAAAAAAAAAGGTGGAGATCAGCTGGGGTCCAAGGCGACTGGAGACACTTTAGCACCAAATGGGGCCTTGTAATTTGGACTGAAAAAAAAAGGGATCGATGTTATTTTACTATCAATACAAATCACTGACGCAACCCCTTTGGCAGCACTTTGCTGGCTCTCCATAATGATTTCCTCCATTCTCCTCCAATTTGTGGGGTTCACCCTCCCAGTTACCTGAAAGTTTGGAGACTAAAGTCAGCAGTCACTACCAGATAGTCCCTCTTGCTGCATAAATGAAGAAACTGAGGCCAAGACTGGGGTAGACCCAGGACAGCCTCAAGCCCAAATCTCCCAACAGTCACTTCTCATTCTACAATTGTCGATGGCTCCTTATTGCCCACCAGCTGCTGAAGTCCAAAGCCCTGAGCATGGAATTGCCTTTCCAACCTCATCTACTAGCTTACTCTTAGCCTTGCCAGCAAAAATGGCAAGCAGTGCGATGACATGCTGTGCCTTTCCGCCGTTGCACCGTTCTGCCACCCAGTTCACCAGCCTGCATCTCTTTCTACCTATCCAAATCTTTCCACTTCTCAATTATCACTGCCAGGCCCACCTCCTTCCAAAACCTTCTCAGACCTTCTTCAGACCTCCACTTCCCTGAACATTCACTGTTGATCTCTCCAGCTCCCCAGGAATTTATTTCCTCTCTTCTCATTTCTATAGTTGTGCTTTCAAAGTTGAAGAGTCAAATCCTTTTATGGACTGGGTCACTTTGGGTCGATGATTTTACCTCTCTAGGCCTCAGTTTCCTTATCTGACAAATGGGGACAATGACAACACTCACCTGCCAAGGGTCTTGGTGACATGAGACTGGTACAGTGCTTGACACGGGCTCTGTGATACGGGCTCAGCAAACAGCCCCAGCAGCCCCCGCCTGCCCCACCCAGGGGATCCTCGAGTGAGGCCGCACCAGGCACCGCTGCCCAGGCCAGCATCTGGGCCTGACTCAGAGCCAACTGCTGGCCCTTTTCCCAGACCTGGCAAAGCCACCAGCAGTGTCTGCCTCTCTCAGGCTAGACTGGCAGCTGAGGGTCCTAGGAGGGGCTATCTCGAGCCTGTGTCTCCCCTCAGAACTTCTGTACTCCAGTGTTGCCCCACACTAGCTCCAGAGGGATCTTTCTGACACAGCTTGATCACGTCCCTCTCCTGCTCACACTGCCCCCCATGGTTTCCCAGTGTCCTCTATGCCTCTAGCCCTGCCTTGGCCCAACAGGACTGGGGCATCCCTGTCTGACTTGGTCTCTTCTGACTGGAGCCTTCTTCAGGACAGCCCAGGCCCCAGTGTCACCCAGCAGAATTACCAAAACAGACAATAGGTTAAATGAAACAGTGATTAAAAGCAACATTGATTAAAAAGACATTCCAGGGGCACTCCCTGAGTCCCAGAGAGGCAGGAATATCATCCCCTTTTCCCAGATGGGGAAACAGGCTTCAAGATGCAAAGTCACCTGCCCAAGGGCTCCCAGCAGAGCCCATTCAAATCCCAAACTCAAAGCTCTTATCCATGTGCACTAGACTATCTTTGGGTGGGGAGATGGGTCAGGGGTGGCTTCTATTTTCTCTTTGCTCATCTGAATTTTCTGCAGCGAGTTTGCATGCCTCATGTAACTAAAAAGAATTTAAAATAAATGTAGGTGCCTCATGCCATTAAAAGAAATTTTAAATAAATGTAGGTGCCGTTGTCAGGGTTCCAACACGTGGACAACACGACTGATCCTCAGCCAACCCCCTTACACAGAGGTGTGAATGGGGGCTCAGTAGAGGCAGCCCCTCTTCTGGGATCACACAGCCATTCAGAGGCAAATTCCAGAGACTCTTACCCTTGGGAAGGGGGTGGAGGTCAGGTCCACCCCACCATCCTTTATGTGGCAAGGGGGTGCGGCCCCTTTAAGAAAGCAAGTGCCAGTAAGAGGAGCCCCAGCTGGGGAGGCAGAAAGGGAGGGAGCAGGGCTTGTTGCCAGGGGCAACCAGTTGCCCAGCAACGGGCTTCCTCTCAGCAAGCTCAGGGCCTGCAACTGGTGAAGGGTCTTTCTGCCCTGGTCCTCCCTCAATTCTCCTGTTCACACATCCTCTGTGGCTCCCCATTAGCCTGGCCCTGCAGGAGGAATCCTGTGCTCCCCACTAGCCACCCAGTGTCACACCTCTGAGCTTTGGTCCAGGTTGTTCCCTGGGTCTGGAATGCCTTACTGACATCCTGGAAAATCTCAGTCTTCAAAGCCCATGGCAAACATGGTTGTGTGTCCTCGCTCTTCCTCTAGGTGCCCTGAAGGTACTGCAGGGCTGGAGGTGTCTGGCTGGTTCTGTGTCCCTCAAATGGGGGATTCCTTGGGGTCAGGGCCAGGATAAAGTCTCTCTGGGGGCCCAGCATCCCCCAGAGTTGGCTGGGGATAGAGTGTTGGTGGCTGGAAGGGAGGGTGTGAATGAATGAATGAAAACAAGTCCATTTCATTCAGCCCCCTTGGGTCACAGCACATGGTCCTCAGCCCAGAGGGAAGGCTGGTGAGGGGGCCTCTAGAGGTCAAGCCATGAAAACCCCCCAACTCTCCAGGATGGGAAAGACAAGGAAATCCCCTGGCTGGAATGACCCTGGATACTGGAAGTTCAGTCTGGCCCTGGGTTTGAACCTGCACTTTCTCACTGGACAACCTTAAGTAAGAGAGTCCTACTCTGGCGCTCCATTTCCCTGTTGTTCAAGCTGTGACACTCCCAAGGTCACAGGGCCTGACTCTTCGCATTTTCACTTCTATCCCCTGCAGATGCTCCACCTGCCCAAGACTCTGCCCACAAGCCACCAGGTCCTCCCACCTCCATGAAAACCCCCATAGCCCTTCCAGGAGCCCCCACCAAAATAAGAGAAGCCTTACTTACCCAAAAATGCTCCCCAAAATATGACATCCTTATGGCCTCTGTGGAGACCCCTGCAGGCTCCTGTCTAGTGCCTGTCTGAAGAGAGAGGCAGGTTTGAGCTGCAAAGTCATGAATATCTTGGGGCTGAGGAAGGGAAATTCCAACTGTCCTCCCTGTGGAGGAGGGAGAGAGAGGACAGAGGAGGAACCAAAAGCCTCAAGGCTGGGAGCATGCCAAGGTCCTTGAGATGAATCAGTCTCGGGCCTGGCCCCCAAATATACCACAGTCCAGGAGGACAAAGCTGGATACAGATGCCCCCACTCCTATGGGGTCAGAGATGGATTAGATGGAGGGATAGGGGCTGGAGGAGCCTAGACTAGAGGAAAGGGCAAGGGAGTTAGGGTTCTTAAGCACGAATAGGAGTTTGCTATGTGTTTGAGGGCTACTGGATAAATCCTAGCATGGGCAAAAAAGATCTGGGCTATTTTACATATGGGAAAACAACACCCCCAAAGGGGAAACCACTTGCCAAGGTCATATAGATAGCAATTGACAGTGACTTTGCACCCTGAGCCAGCTGAGTATGGACCTGAACACTCAGCTCCACACTGGGCAGCTCCTGTGGAAAAAGGATCTGGTGAGAGGTGGACACTGGGACTGTGATTGGCCACATGGGTGTTGGGGTCCCTGAAGTGTCCCCAAGGGTTCCTTAGCATCTCCTGAATCTCTCTACAACAGTCCCTGACTCATGCACACTCCTGGGATGGAGAGCTCACCCCTCACCATGGTGACCCAGGTGGCATTGGTGCCCCATGAGTCTCAACCCTGTCCCCCAGAAGCCAGTGTTCACCTGGTGTCTGAATCACTGTCCAGCTCTTTGCCTCAGTTTCCGCATCTGCAAAACAAGAGAAAATGCCTCTTGCTAGGGAACCCCAGGACTCCCTGCAGAGGGGGTGGGTCAAGCCACCCAGTGACAGAGGGACACTTAGTGTCCTTGGCACGTCCTTGAGGCTGAGCTTGTCACTGGAGCCCACAGGCCTCATTCATAATTCATGACCCTGCAGGCAGTTCAGCAGCAGCTGGGAGCCCAGGAGGTACAGTGGCAACAGGGATGGGACTGATGACCATAGGATGGGAAAGCTCCCTGGGCCTCACCAGGAAAGGGCTGAGCAAGGACTTTGGACAAGGCTGCCCCTTGCTGAGCCTCGGTTTACCTAATCTTGAAAGTAAGAAGTAATTTTAACTTGATCCATTATCATCTAGCCCCTAATCCCTTGACTTCACCCAGCACCCACCATGTGGCCACATGGCCAGGACAATGCCAGGGTCTATGAGATAATTCAGCCCTGGGTTTGGTCCCTGAGGAGCCCCCATTCTAGGGGAATAGAACTGGTCCTGTAGGGTCAGGGCTCGGCCAAATGGAGGAACAAGGACTTAGGGAGCCTGGACTGAAGGAGGGGGCATGGGAGCTGGGGTTTTAAAGCAGAATAGGAGTTCATTAGGCAAAAAATTATTTGATCCAACGTTCCCAACCATCACCCTATGCTGGGTGATGCTGGGCCCCTGAGAAACTTCAGTCACCAGTGCAGCCCCTGAGGAAACCCAGTCTGGTGGGGGCATGCTAGGTTGACATCCCAAGAAGGAAAAGCCTTAAATTTCCATCTCATTTCTTAGTTTCTGGCATGGCTTAGGCCCTGAACATCTCTAAATCCCCAACCAGCTATGCTAAGGACACAGGAACAACTAGCCTCATGTAGCAACTTAATTTTAAACTAAGTAACATTAAATACAATTAGCCCCTCAGCTCCTCAGTTGTGTCAGCTTTGCTTCCAGGGCTTAGTAGCCACAGAGGGATGTTGGCCACCACATGGGACAGCAAAGATAGAGAGTTCTGCTAGACAGTGCTGCTCTACAGGATCCTAGGAGCCACCGGGCCCAAGTTCCCCAGAAAATAAGAATCTCGCTACTATTTTTACAACTCCGATTAGATTGCCTCCCACCCTCACATACACTGAGCACCGGTATGTGTGCAGTGCTGTGTCCAGCTCATCACAGGGCCCAGTTCATTCAGCTTTCACAACCACATCATAGGGCACAATCCCAACTTTACAGATTAGGAAATTGAGGCACAGAGAGGTCACTCACTGCCCCCAGATTACTGTGATTTTGTCTCTTGCTTATCTGCCACAGGACTCCTGTTCGGAAGCACCATAGCGGGTTCCAGGTCTCCTTGTCCATTCTACTGCTCCGTAACTGACTCTACCACTCAGAGCCGTATTGGGGAACAGAGCCCCCCCCTCCCGCCTCCTGCAGGCCCTAGCCCAGCCCAGGAAGAGACACATGCTATTTCTGAAACCCAGGCGACAGTGGGGCCTCCTTTCTGTTCCTGAGGGGGTGAGGAGAGACAATGGGGGCCTCCTGGCAAGGCTTGAACTCACCAGACAGGGAAGCAAGTGGGGCTGGAACCCAGTCAAACATGGCAGGCACCAGAGATAGCCACGCAGCCCCTGCCGCTTCCGCCAACACCAAGCCACACCAAGCCGAGGCCCGTGGGCGTGAGGGACAGGAAGCTCACCCGCCCCGCCCAATGCCTAACTGCCACCTCCTCTCCCCTCCCAAGAGCAGCACCCTTGGGGCCTCTCTGGAACCACACAGGCCATGGATGGGTAAACTGAGGCCCCTGGATCTGCAACCCCCAGCCTGGGGCTATTATTACCCAACAGATCATAATCATGACAATTGTGAAATAACTGAACCCACAAATTGAGTGCCAATCTGCATTTCACATCTCACCATCTCGAGGTGAGCCAATGTTGTCCTCATAGATGGGGGAATCGAGGCTCAGAAAGGGGAATCCACACATCCAAGTTTGCACAGCTAACGAATGGCAATACTGAGATTCAAAAGGCTGCATTAGGACTTTCATGGGCCCGAGGTACTTTTGCCCCTTGCTCCATTAAGAAAAGAATTTAAATTATATTTTACAACTGCTTTGGCATAAAAACAAATATATTAATATCATATGTTAAAATGTTTTCTTTGATTCCAAAGCTCATTTTTTTTTCTTCTAATTTTAAAAGAGGTTGAAACATCTTCATGGACCCCTAAAAGTATTATGCCTGAGACACAGTGATCACTACATCTGATAGAAAAGTCAGCCCTGCTGGAACCCAGGCATCCCGGGTATTGCCAGTGCAAAGCCCAAGATAGATAGGGACTTGACCAAGGTCATACAGCAGGTTGTCAGCTGACCAGGACAGCCCCATCCTCTGGCTGCTGGAAGCAGGGAACAGAGTCCTCCCTGGGGGTGTCTGACATGAGCCCTGGCACCATCTGGAGATGAATCCTGCCTCCCCAGCCCTAATTCCCCCAAACCTGGAACTCTGCACCTGGTGGAGTATGAGAGCAAGCCCAGGAGCAAATAAAACAGGAAAGGAATCCAGTCAGCAAGGAAAGCGGGGCTCTAGCTCCTGGCCTCCTGCTGGGTGACCTTGGGCCACCCCAACCTCTCTGGGCTTCCTGGGTCCTATGAAACAGAATCTGACATTTTGCTCCCCCCGGTCTCCAGTATGCACACAGTAGGGACAATTTGGGGTTTTTCTCTTCTTCCCGGTGACCAGCCTCTTGGCCATGCTGTTTCAATGATCAGCTCTGTCACATGCTTCCTCCCCTCCAGGCTCAGCCACTAGAGCTGTGGCCATTCACATACTCTGGCTTCTCACAATGATACTTAGAGACAGTATCTCATCTTGGCCATCATCTCAAATGGGGAAACTGAGGCATGGGCTCCATGTTGCACAGTGACTGAGCCACTGAATGGGCATGTGAGCTCACACTCAGGAATTTTTCAGTTCTTCTCACTGGTACCCCCTCTTCATCACTTCATTTGGCAAACACCTACTGAGCATCAACTGTGTTCCCGACTGCCAGGCTAGAGACACAACAGGTGACACCCTTGCAGACTCCCTTCTCTCCTTTCCACTCCTGGTCAGTTGTGACCCCATTTATGATCAGTAATATCATAATTAGGATTATAATGATCATGTCTGTACTAACAACATTCCCATCCTCCCACAGTCTCCTTTGATCTTCCAAGAGGGATTCAGCCCATTTCACAGAAAAACACACCAAGGTGCAGAGGGACAAAGCCATGCACAAGAGAACTGTATTTGAATCTGGGGGCATTGGACTTTAAGCCCAGAGCTCAAGCTCACCCCTGTGCCCAGTACAGGGATGGAGCCTCAAGGGAGAGGGACAGGCTGGCCCGGCACCTCCCACCTCCTCCTGCCCAGGAACCACCCAGGCACTGATTTGCCTCTGGCGTGGGTGATGGTATGTGGGTCAGGGTGTGCCCTGCGTGATCCCGCCAGTGAGACCAGGATGGTGGAGCCCCCATTCCAATGACTGCAGCCTGGTGATATAATTTACTCTCTGGCAGAATAGCTCTTGCAGCAATGCCAGAGTGTAAACATCAACCCATTTTGCAGTGCAGTAAACCGAGGTTCAGAGGCCAGCAAGGGATGTGGGGGCATCTCCAAACCCCCCGTTGCTCTCTCACCCCAAAACCACTGACATCTTAAGCAAAAGGGTGAGGTAACGACCTGGCAAAAGATGGGGTGGGTGGGTTTTAGAATCTATAGAATACAGGCTCCGAAGTCCCCAGCCCCATTTTCAAAGGAGAATACCAAGGCTCAGGAAGATGCTGTCACCTGCCCAAGGTCACCAGTGAGGCAGGTCCATCCAGAGCCACCTCCTTGTCTCCACTGTGATTGGGACATATGGGGCAGATGACTCCTGAGATGGAGGTAGATGGAGGGGCCGCCCACCCCCCCCAAGCCTCCTCCGCACCCCACTCAGAGTCAGCCTCTGGCAGGATCCTAATTTACCTCGATTTATTTTAATCCCCAGGAACAGATGCTCATTGCCCAACCCCCACTGAGGCAGGGACCACCCCAAGTCTAATTCAGGCCCTTCCAGACCTGATCTGGCTAGTTCCAGCCAGGCAAGAGGCCCTACACTGACCCCCTCCCCAGAATTCCAATCTTGGGGTTCTTCAAGAGGATGCTAGTGAAAGGCCCCCCTATCCCATCCTGTGGTAAGGGGGCTGGGATAGGACAGTCTAGAGGAGGACCCTAGGGGACCCTCATCTCCTCTGCCAGGACTGGATGAGGATTCACAGTGGAGAAAAAGGGAAGGGGGTTCCTCATCTCGGCCCTGCAAGGAGTGGGGGGTGTTTCTGCAGATCAGAGCTGGGAAGAGGGAAATTGGGGGTGGTCTCCACTTCAGCTGTCCTGGGTCGCAGGCTGGAGGGTAGCGGCGCCCCCATCTTTGCAGCCCCGGAACCTAGACCCAGATCCTGGCTTAGAATAAAGGGATTTGGGGAGGGGTCTCGCGTCTTGGCCGCCCCTCTGTACGCTCAGGTTCTAGGCCAGGAGATCACAGACTAGGAAAGGGGTCCTTATCTCCCTCCGCGGACCCCTGATTATCACCGGGGAGAGGCCGAGGCGCCCACCGAGCAGCCCCCCACCTAGCGTTCGCCATCCCCCAAGCCCCGCGACGCTTTTGCCCCTTGTGGCCACCAGGACTGCGGAGCACCGTGGTGCTGATGGGGGACTGCGCAGGCCAGGGGACTGGGGGGAGTCACGGGGACAGCACTCACCTTCCGAGCTCCGACCGAGCCCCGCGCCCGCCGCCACCTGCGGCTTGGTCGCTGACACCCGAGCCCGCCCCGCCCCTCCCTCCGCGGCTGCGGCGCGGCTGTTAGGTGGCTCCGCCCCAGGGGCGTGGCCGAGACAGTCCCCACCACCGTGAAGACACTGGGAGGCCGGGGCGGACTCTGAGTCGGCGCAGCCAGCCATAGGGCCCTGTAGGCGGCAAACTCTGCCAACCCAGCGCGCTAACTGGCTAATCCGGAGAGGCTCCTTTTTATTTTACCCCCCACACCCGCTTCCACCACCTGCAGGTCATTTGCATACTTTAAAGCGACAGCAGGCGCTCCTTCCACCTGAGATCCAGTGGAAGGGGGAAAAAAAGACCAGTTTATTGAGTGCCCATTGTGTGCCAGGCACTGAGAACAGGGCTCATTTGATGCCTCCACAAGCCTGTAAGCGGGACATTATTGATCCTCATTTTACAGATGGGGAAACTGAGGCTCAGAAAAGGCAAGAATTTGCTCGGAGATCACACAGTAAGTCATCAGTCTTATGAGAGCAGCCCCAGGACCTGGCCCCTTGGGTGGGGAAAACCATCCCCAAGGATGCTATCATGTCACAAATTTGAAAGGCTCCTGCTCCTCTCACCTGGGTCTTCATAAAAGGATATTTATTTAGATAGTGCCTGCAGGTACCCCATTCAACCCTCAAGTTCAATACTGGAGCTGATCTGCCTGCCCTGAGGCCTGCTCCTCCAGCAGCCTCCCCAGAGGCCTGGGCGTCCCTGGGAGTCTTCTACTCCCTTCATCATCCACATTGGTCCTGCTGGTCCTGTGTCTCTGACACACCCCCTATTTGCCCCTTTTCCTGTACACCACAGTGGCCCCAGGTGTAGGCCCAGTATTCTCCAGCCTGGATGCTGCCTCTGCTTTCTACTCTTGTTGCCTCCACCCCTGCCTCAATCACTGTTCTTCATGGCAACTTTTTTTTTTTTAATAAACTTTTATATTTTAGAGTAGTTTTTTGGGGGGGAGGGGAGGGGAAAACAGTGTGTTTTTCCAGAACCCATCAGCTCCAAGTCAAGTAGTTGTTTCAATCTAGTTGTGGAGGGCGCAGCTCAGCAGCCCATGCAGGGATCGAACCGGCATCCTTGGTGTTGTGAGCACTGACGCTGTAACCGATTTAGCTAACCGGCCTCCCCCTAGAGCAGTTTTGGATTTACAGATTTATTGTGAAGATGGTATGAAGAGTTCCTGTGTATCTCACACCCAGTTTCCCTGTTGTTAACATCTTATATTAATATGGTACATTTGTCACAATTACTGAACCAATATTGAGACATTATTATTAACTAAAGTCCATAGTTTATTCAAATTTCCTGTTTTCCCTAGTGTCCTTTTTTTGCCCTAGGATCCCATGTGACATTTACCATGGCTCCTTAGGCTTATATGGGCTAATTGTAGGATGGCCTGAAATTGGGATTTAAAAATATATATTTAAATATATATTTGATATATATTTGACATACATTGTGCAAATTTAAGGTGTGCAACATATTGATCTGATACACATATTATAATATGATTGCCACAATTGGGATTTGTGTGGTGTTTTTCTCATGGTTGGACTGGGGTGACGTGTTTGGGGAGGAGAACCACAGAGGTGAAGTGCCCTTTTCATCACACTGTGACCAAAGCACATGCCTTCAACATGACTTATCACTGTGATGTTGACCTTGATCACCTGGCTGAGGTGGTGTCTGTCAGTCATCTCCACTGTAAAGCTTCTCTTCCCTCTTTCCAGGAGGTCTTTTTTGGAAAGAAGTCATTATTTACAGCCCACATATGAGGATGGGGAGTCCCTCCCA